TTAGCTGCTGCTTGTCTCCTCCAGCTCTCACAAGTTATTCAGGTCTGCTGTAACTTTCTGATGAAACAACTGCACCCATCCAACTGCCTGGGGATCCGTTCGTTTGCTGATGCTCAGGGATGCATGGATCTTTTGAACGTTGCTCACAACTACACTATGGTAGGACCTGGCATACACATACATAGTTGCTGACCTTTCACAGTAATTTCCACTTCAGTAATGGTAGAATTACAATTAAATGATGCCTGTATACTCCAATTTCATGGGAGTTGAATGACTGTGATGCAGCAGCTTGGTGTTGTAGAATCCTAATGATATCTGTTTCTGCATTACAGTAATCCTTTGTATATTTTATAGATTAACTAGTGTAATGTGTATAGTACTACGCTGGCGATGTTCCCAGCATGCAATCTGGCATGAATAAATTATGTGGTGGCATTGTTTTACTATTTGCTGGTTTATATTGCTATTGTTGTTTTTGGCTATCTCTTTTGACTTATTTTGTAACACTCAGAGGCATTTTAAATTATGCTTGTTTATTGTCAGTCTCATTGGGTTTTAGTGTGTTGATATCTAATACTGAAGGTTCACCAGTGATAACAACGAGTCTGGGAATATTCACAGTATGAGATATCACCACTTTGCATACAAAACCCAATAATGCTGACAATAAACAAGCATATTAAATAACCACCTTAATTGAAGAAAGATATATTGTAAAGAACTATTTCATTTGAAACATACAGGATAGGGAGATATAGATAATATATTTTATTACATTTTTCTGTTATGGTAGAAAATGTCGTAGCCTGCTCTGATTTCAATACAATAATGTAAAACACGACTGTTAAAGTAATACCGTCATGTTTTCACCGTCACAGACTTTTTCTGTGGAACACAAAATGGAGAAATTTATAGCAGAACATCCAAGCTGCTCTTTTCCATACAAAGAAAGTAAACTGTGATCAGGTCTGTCAAGCAAGATTTTCAATGCAAGATTTTGAGTAAATAGCAGATTAAAATATATGTGACGCTTGGGTATATTTTTAGTAATAGCCAACAAAACATTGTATGGGTCAAAATTATAGATTTTTCTTTTATGCCAAAAATCATTAGGATATTAAGTAAAGATCATGTTCCATGAAGATATTTTGTAAATTTCCTACCATAAATATATCAAAACTTAATTTTTGCTTAGTAATATGGATTGCTAAGAACTTCATTTGGACAACTTTAAAGGCGATTTTCTCAGTATTTTGATTTTTTTGCACCCTCAGATTCCAGATATTCAGCTTTCAGATGATGTATAAATCTCAATTTCAAGAAATTGACCCTTATGACTGGTTTTGTGGTCCAGGGTCACATATATGATTTCAGAGTGCATATGACATATGGACTGCTTATAGAAATCTTTTTTTGTCTATTTTCAAGATTGACTACTCGTTCATTTTACTTTCATTGATACACAGATAGTAGCGTGAACATTCTTCATAAGATTTCCTTTTCTATAGACTAGAGTAAATTCAAAAGGGTTTTAAACAATATTAGATTAGTAAATCATGACAGAACTTTCATTTTGTAGTGAACTATCATTAAAACTAATAACCCTCAACTTTTTTCCTGCTTATTAAAAAAGCCGCAGGTTTTAAAGCCTTGTCTGACATAAAGAATTCCAAGCATAAAATTATTTGATGTGACATTTTGTATCTCAGCATGCGGTCAGTTTAAAGGGTTGCACAGAGCTCTTTGATGTGTGAGAAATATAGCAAAAGCAGCCTTGGTTAAATAATGGCAATACATTAAGTATTCTCGGGAGCTCAAGGATCCACAGAACACATTTGCTTGATGGGCATTTCTCTGCCCAAGTACGGAAACAACTTAGGAAGATAGCCGTTATCTCCTGAAGGACATCTGCACAGGCTGTTTACAAAGGGCTTTCCAGAGCAGAGAGGTTAATCTAATCAGAGGACACAAGTAGGAAAATTTCCTGTTCGGTCGCTCCGGTAATGAACACAGCTTCAACAGAGCTTCCTGGTTGGCTTGCCGTGGTCTTCAGATTAAAAACTTCGATTTTGATAAGCGTGTTTTTCCCCATTTCAAGTGAAATTGCTATCTCAACAGCCATTATATTGAGCAATATTGGTTTACAGCACACCTTTAAACTAAGCTTTGGCATGCTCTACAGTCTTCAGACACGCAGCTTACCAATATTTGAACGATTTAGAAAAGATGGATCACTGTCTGGCCAACTGAGATTTTGATATGGAGATAAAGGTTATATATGGTGACCATACATCCTCTTTTTCTCCAACATGTCCTGGCTGGGATTTCTAAATTGCCTAAAATGTCAGGGTTTTGGTTTTGTTTTCGTATTGACGTGCTCTCTACATTCCTCACACATTTTATGTACACGTATTTGCATTGCTTTGACTGTTCTCTGTAGATCCTACCTTCACACGCCAGATAATTTAGCCAATTTAGAATTCCTGACCAGGACATGATTGGGAAAAAAAGGTTGTTTTGTCACCCTAGGTTAAGTGCATGGTTTTTCAGTAGCATTACAGCACCCTGTGAGTGTCTTTCATCACTGTTTGTTGTTTGGATGGGAATTGGCCCTGGAAACTGTGAATTGTAGTCAGACTTAGCCATTAATTACTCACCCTCAGGTCATTCCAAACCCATAAGAATTTCGTTGAACTGAACATTGTGTTCGTTGAACACAAATGAAGATATTTTTGATGAAATCTGAGAGCTTTCTGACCCTGCATAGACAGCAACGCAACTGACACATTCAAGACCCAGAAATGTAGTAAGGACATTGTTAAATTGTCCATGTGACATCAGTGGCTCAACCGTAATGTTATGAAGCTATGAGAATACTTTTTGCATCATGATGCTCTCGTGAACATGCGTCGAAGACTGACACAGAAGAGAAGAAATTGTTGACTAAAGTTGTTATTTTTGTTTTCTTTGCGCACAAAAAGTATTCTCGTTTTAGAACGACATAAGGGTGAGTAATTAATGACAGAATTGTAATTTTTGGGTGAACTATACCTTTAACAACCGGATTGCTGTATTGGGCACATTGAGAAATCATTTATATATTTAAAATAATAAACTATCCATAAATATAAAAATAATTTGTTTATTGTAACACATTTTAGTACTTGCAGTTAATGTCTCATTACATTGCAGCACACAGATTTATAACTAAACAAAATTGCTTAATATTTCAGGAACACTTTCTAGAGGTCATTCAGAATCAGGAGTTCCTCTTGCTGCCCACAATGGAAATTATCAAGCTTTTGGCCAGTGATGACATCAACGTTCCAGATGAAGAAACGATTTTCCAAGCACTGATGATGTGGGTTCGCCATGATGTGCAGCACCGACAACAGGATCTGGGAGTGTTGCTGGTGTATATTCGACTTCCCCTTTTACCACCACAGGTTTGTCAATAGCATTCATATAAGACTCTTGGCCATTTTATTACAATTTAATGCAATCACTGAAAAATTTCCTGCTCATCTAATATTTAAATGTTACTCTTTAACATTGCACTCTTTAGTTCCTTCTTCTGTTGGATGTTAATGCACTATTTTTTTTTTGATGTAGCTTCTTGCTGATTTGGAAAACAATAAGATGTTTTCAGAAGACCTGGAATGCCAGAAGCTCCTGATGGAAGCCATGAAGTACCATCTTTTGCCAGAGCGCCGTCCCATGCTACAGAGCCCTAGAACCAAACCACGGAAATCCACTGTTGGATCGCTCTATGCCGTTGGACAGGGTTCGTACCGATACTGTAAAATGAAATTCCAGGACTTTCAATGAATTTTCAAGCACTACTTTTTTGGTTTTCAAGGACTACAGAGATATCACTTATCAAACAATATCGTTATTACCTTTCAAATTCTAGAAAAGGTAAATAGATAAATAAAAATTGGCCCTGTTACAATTGTTAAATTTGGCTGATGGATAAATGGTCTAAAATTAATTATGCTTGTTCATTTCAGTTTTAGGGCTCTGATGATTAATTGTCTTTTTTAGGGCTTTGTCATACTTTTTTGAGCGCTTCATTCATTAAATAATTGTGATGAATTTAATCCGTTTATAAGTTATCATTTTGCAGTGTAAGATTACAGTTAACACCTTTAAATATTAATGTATTCAATTCAGTAAATAACTGAAACGATCATAACAAACTGGCCAATCATAGAAAAGGCCATAAATGTATCATAACAATCCAGAATGCACTACTTCATTATAAAGAAAAACAAAGCTTATACACCTCTAAATTTCCACATTATGCAATCATAATGATCACACTTATAAGAATTGCTTTAACAAGCTCATTTTCTTTGCCTAAAATTAATACATGTTAGCTGACTGCATGAATTCTATGAAATAAAATGGACATTACTTTCAGTCACCTCTGAAAACAGATCACTCTAAAGTTTAGTGTTGACACATGCATTTTCTGTAAAGCTGCTTTGAAACAATAAATATAGTGAAAAGTGCAATATAAATAAATGTGAATGAATAAGCTATGACAAAAAATATATCAAATTAGATAAGTGTATAATTCAGCAAAATCTTTGGTGTATAGTATTTTTAAACAGTCTAAAGATGTTAATAAAATTAGTATTTGTATTGTTATAAAATACATTAGTGAATATATACATACACGTAGCGCGCACACAAACAGACATTTGGACAATATGATATAATAAAATTGACAGCCCCAGCAGAGGGAGGACGAGTTTCCGCCAGCTTTAATTTAATGATGTTCTTGGAAAAAAATTAAACACAACTTTCATATATATTGTTTTCCACTTTTCAAGTACCTTTTCATAAAGGCTGTCTTCAAGGGGGTTTCAATACTTAAATGACAAAGTTAGATTGAAATACTTAAAGCACCTTGTACAAGCCCTGGTTGGAAGTATGGACGCCTCAAAGGTGGACCATTATTTAGTATTTTTTCTTATTAGCAGTACCACTTACTGCCAACAAAACATACATTTTGTACAGTAAAATAGCTATTAGCATAGCTGGATACAACTGTTTAACTAACAATAAACTCTAGAGTCTACTTCTGTCTACTTTTAGGGTCTACAGCAATAGAGAAATACGACCTTCGCACAAACAGATGGATCCAAGTTGGTAGCATGAATGGGCGAAGACTTCAGTTCGGCGTGGCAGTGATCGATAACAAGCTCTACGTGGTTGGAGGAAGGGATGGACTCAAGACCTCTAACATGGTGGAGTGCTACAACCCAATCACTAAAGTGTGGTCCACCATGCCGCCAATGTCAACCCACAGACACGGATTAGGTGTGTTTTATGAATGCTTCAGATGTTTGTGTAATCTTATTACACAGCTTGTATGAATAATTGTTACACAGTAATGTTTAGTAATGAAATTTGCTTCATTCTGTGTCAGTATAAATGTGACAAATGATTAAACAACATCAGCCCTTAACTTTGAAAGTCTAATTCGTCATAAACAAAAATTACATATCAGTAAATTAGAAACATTCAAAAATGAAAATATTCTAAATGATCTTGATCGAACATTCATGATGTCCATATTTCATGTATTTTAAATGTATTTTAACTAATAAGTTAAGCATTAGGCTCGTTAATGCTATTAAAGATATTTATAAGGCTTTGCTCATTAGTATTAAATAAGCTATGTTCACCTCGAAGACCTAACTTATTAGCTGAAAGGAATACATTGCTAATCAGCAGGTGAAGAAGAAGAAATCCTACTATTATGAGGGCATAGTTCATGAATGAATGAATATTTATTAATTTATTTGGCTAATTGGCTTTACTTTCTAGGTTACCAAGCCATGTCTGCATGACTCAATTAATATTCACACCCCAAACGATATCAGTTTTATTGATATTCACATGATGTGTTTTGGTTCATCAATAGGTAGACAGAGCAAAATGGAACAGATCACGGACATCGTTTTGAAATATTTTGACTCTTGACACTCTTAGAAACGGTTCATGGCACAAGATGCTGAAAAGCAGCTGAACGCGACTGAACAGAAATGACGCCCCTGCAGATTACAGCCCGAGGAAATTTAAGAACGTGTCGTGTCGACTGTCTCAGTTTATCAAAAGCAGTCAATCACAGTCTGAAACTTAATTAGCGTATAACATTTGGTGCATTAGGGAGATGATATGTTATTTTGTGCCTTACATTAAAGCCGATAACGTTGACAATAATAATCTTTTTTTTTTCTCTGGTCCAGTTTTCAAAGACAAAACGAGCATGATGAAGTGATTTGTAAAGGAGGAAGGTGAATAACATTTCACATCAAAGCGCCAAAGCTTGTCAAAAAACAAACAACCAGAAAAATTCCGGCTGCCGAAAATTAGTTCACCGCTCAGGTTTCACGTTCACGTGGTGTGACGCTCTGCGTGTTATCCCGCTCTATGCGTGTGCGCTCCGCTCAGTCGCTCCACTCATATACCGTTCATGCTCATCGGAACAGCAACGTCCACTCAAAAATTGAGCCGACAGGAAACATGGATGTAGTACAGTATCGTTTCTGTCTGCAATAGCCCTACTGTGCTGTAACATGGTGTGGTATATGAGCAACTCTGGTAACGCTGCCCTCTCATTCATTGATCTGCTAACCGTTATGTTATGCTCACGTGTTCTGATAATAATAGCTTTATTTGGATAATTGGTAAAAAAAAAAAAAAAAAAAA